TTATTTTTAAATTCTAATTTTTTATTTAAATTTAAGATTAAAAATCTACTTAAGCAGATTTAGAATTCACTTAAGTGAATTTAGAATTCACTTAAGTGAATTCTGAATTCACTTAAGTGAATTTAGAATCTACTTAAGTAAATTCTAAATCCATAGAACCCCAAATTCATCTATAATATATTATAAGATAACATGAATTCTTGCTTTCAATTCTCGTTTACCAAAACTATAAAGTAACATAATTGTATCCTTTATTGCATCAGCTTTGACTAACTGTACAGTTGGGTTCAAATATTGTACAATTTCTATCAACTCAGAGTCTTCGATTATTGTAAATGGGCATTGATGGTTGATAGTCTAGGTGTCAAACATATTGTGAAGTTTCACATTATCAATATTAGTGAATGATATAGTGGAGATTTTTTGAGAATTCCAAAATAAAATTTTTAAATTAGTTCATATTTGAAAATTAGGAAATTTAACTTATTATAGTTCTGGAAATTCTGGGGCATGATACTATTAAACATAATGCTGTGCCAGGCACAGGCACTATGTTTAATAGTATTATATCTGACACTTCCAGAACTCTAAACTCACCCTTCTGAATGCTTTCTCAATGTTACCACATTCATCTTGTGTTTTTTTTTTTCAATATTCTGCTGTTTTGGCATACTCCATCTAGTGAGAACTCTCCAAATGGTGCTACAAGGGTTTGGTTGTTCCTCCCTTCCTACAAGAAAACTTCTTGTGTTGACACTTTGGTACTATACATTTGGCTGTTTTTCGTTCTTTTTCCATTCAAGTTTTTTAAAAAAATCCCACACCTCACTAACATTACTTCGATTGTTATTATTATCATGAATATCATCATTATTATCATCATTATCATTATCATGGTCATTATCATGGTCATTATCATGGTTGTTATCATGGTCATTATTTTGGTCATTATCATGGTTGTTATCATAGTCATTATATTGGTCATTATCAAATTCCTCCAAATGCACGGACAAAGAACTCATTTTTATTTTAAAAATAATTTTTGTATCGATAATCTTACCTTATATATATGCTACAGCTAATAGACTTTTAAATTATTATTAGACTATGCATAATCTGTTATATGTATAAGTACAGTTTATGAGTTAGATTTATAAAAAATAAATTAATAAAAAAAATATTAAATTAAATAAATAAATAAACAGAAACTCTTTCTAACGATCCCTTGTACCAAATTTTCAATAACCAAAATTTCAAAAAAAATCTGTTGTTAGAAATATACAAAGAAAGACA